TCTATCATCTATCTATCTATCTATCTATCTATCTATCTATCTATCTATCTATCTATCTATCTATCTATCTATCTATCTATCTATCTATCTGATTTATTATATTTCATAGCCAGCCAGCCAACTGTCTAGCTATCGAGCTGATATCTAGCTATCTTCTATTATCTATCTCTCTATTTACCTGTTATCTCTATTGCGCTCTCTATAAATAACATACGCACGTGCACTCAAGATGGAAAATATGCTTAACACCCTTTGAAGCCATGAGTGCCCTGAAAAGGTTACTTATGACTGTCCTCACACTTATGACTGTCCTCACACTTATGACTGTCACAGCCTTCCCCTGGTTATGTGGTCACAATCCAGGCAACTGGCTTGCATTTACAACCGAGGCAGTATCCCAGCACATTGTAATAGCCATTTGAGACCCCCATTTTTTTTCCTTGCTTACCTTCCTTGATCTTTCCACAGCGCATTGAGGGACTGAAGTTTTCTGGAAGGTTTTCTTATTTCGGCCAAGCTATCAGTGGAGGAAGAGATCTTACGGGGGATGGACTGAAGGATATCATTGTGGGACAACAAGGAAGAGTTTTGTTGATGAGGTGAGGAAGGACGACATTTTTCTCCTAGTTCTCCTGCCTTCTTAAATGTGCTTAATCAGGCCCATACCCTCAGTAAATAGAGATGTTTATATTAAGGCAAGATTATATTTATATATATGTTTACTTTTCTTGTCTTCCAAACGTAGACTCAGGATTCCTTCAGTTCTTCCTGTTCCTGATTTCAATCAGCTCATAAACTGCTGGGTTGGTGAATATAATGCTGTGGGGCCACACTGGAGTAAACTTTTTCATAAAAATAGGGGGTCTACAAATTAGACAGTTTCCCATTGGCAGGACCTCTCACGTATCCTGTTTTCTGGTTCTGTGGGCTCGGTCTCTTCCGTAGAAGTTGAGATCTCCAGGTCCTCTGCTTTCTAAACTAGCAAATCTATTGTTTCTCACTAATCCCAAAAGACAACAATGAAATTGGAGGAGCAAGACAGTTTTTGAACCCTGTCATTGCTGCTGGAGGGACAAGTGGAAGAAGTAAGGATAGTAAGGTTGACACCAGTGAGGTCAGTTGCTACGTGGTAAAAAAAAAAATTGCTCCTCAGAGATTGGGGAGTGAACCAGTGGCTGTGTGATGTACCCTCAGCTTAGATCAGTGTTCCTCAACTCTTGTTATCTTTAAGAATTCTGGACTTCAATTCCCAGAATTCTCCAACTGAAAGAAAGACAGCCAGGCAGGGGAATTCTGGAAGTTGAAGTCCAGATGCCTTAAAAGTCACCAAGGTTGAGAAACACCGGCTTAGATGCTTTGTGCTGGCTCATGCAGGATGCTGATTCCTAAACACACAATATTTTAATGAAAATGATCTTCCATTTTCTGATTGCTTCCAGGTCTCGTCCTGTTCTGCAAGTAAAGATCTCCATCATCTTCCACCCACCTTCCATCCCAACCTCAGTCCTCCAGGCACAGAGGCCAACATCTCAGGAGAAAGTGATCAGCATGGCAGAAGTGTGCTTTACCATTTCGAAAGTCACTCAAGATTTCCTAGGTCCGTGATAGTGAGCCTCTCTGTAGGAATGTGAGCCATTGCCTCCCACCGCCAACTGATTTTGGGGTTTACCCTGCAGGCGGGAGATGCATGCGTATACATTTCTCCTCATTTTCTGCAGCCCATGCCTTCCCAGATCTCCAGAGATTTCCCCTTCAGCACTGTTTTGAGTTGTGAGGCTCCCCTTCCCCGTCAGCGCTGTTTTGAGAAGGGGGGATTTCCCCCCTCCCCAGTGCTGTTTTGGGATGGGAGGCCATGGGGGGGATGTTGCACACGCATCTGTTAGGCGAGCACAGGGGGTCGCACGTGCATGCATGTAGGGTGAGGGGAATGCAGGGTGTCACGCATGAATGTGCAGGGAGGTGGGGCGCATGGGAGGAGCATTGCATTATGAGTGTGGGCAAGTGAGTGCGCGCAACAGCACACGTACATGTGCTTTCAGCACCAGAGGAAAAAATGGTTAGCCATCACTGCCCTAAGTGATGGGAAATGCTGTAATCCTTTGGGGTTCTACAGCAATCCACATCCTTCAAACCCATGCAGGGCAGATTCTTTTTTTTTTAATTAATTTTTTATTTTATCAATTTCATATATACATTCACAATTATA